TGATGAAATCCTTGTGAAATTAACAGCACAATCGACTGATGCTTATTAAAAAGGATAATGCAAGGTTTCGCCAGTCATCATTACATATGGTCCAATGATTAAAGCATAAAGTTCTCGAAATAGCTAATTTTGTGAAGTCGGCCGGCCGTGTCATTAAGCCAAGATTATAATAATTATTTTGTTTTCATAAAGATATATATTTGGTTTCGAAAGTCAGCAAAATGCTTCTTAGGTTCTGCCCTATATGTACCAGGCTGGACCGAATTCGAGGCGTAGTATATCATTGGTAACTCGTAAGAGATACAGGGTTGGTTTAATCCTAGAAAAGTTGCGCAATTTAATGCTTAATAAAATTACTTCCGCAAATAACTGGAAGAAACCGGAATTTCATTAAATCGAATCGTCATGAATGTTTTGAATACGGATCTGTATTTTTTATTTCTGACACAATTGATAGTTGCGATATCTACATACGCTGATGCTAAAAACATAAAATCCTCCTATTCAGATGAAAAGATTTTGAGCTAGAAAATTAGTTTTCATGCCTTGTTGTGTGCCAGAAAAGGAAAAAATATGTAGCGTACACTCCATCCATTGCCTTCTCCGAACACTTTTCTCAGTAAAAATCTCCCAAAAGCATTCCTTTCAGTTCATTCAGGGCCAATCTTCAACCAGTCGGTAACAGGTATACCGTTACCTTAAATTTGAGAGTCAAATCATTGCAAATTGTAACCCAGCTTCAAAACCAGTTTGTAATGATATGATTCTAAAAGATATACTTTGGTTATTGGTTCAAGCCTTCGAGAACAGGGCTCACTTTCAACAAGACGGGGCAAAATTTGCACTCAATCCATTTCGTGTAGAACTCCCATGGAGCTCTGACTTGAAAAGACAGGTTCACATCAACACACCCTTTACGACAGTCGAACTGAAAGAGGCCATGTTAAAAAAAATCGCTGCTATTCCGAAGGAAATTTGCCTGCGAGTTCTCTCAAATTTGAGGTCGAAATTGTTTGCAGCGCCTAGATCTTCTCCAAGAGAGGATTCTTGACTACCAAACATCCTCCCAAAAATGCTGCCTCGTTTGGTAGGTCTCTAGAGGATTTTTTCGAATATACAATCATCACATCAATATAGTTCATCAAACCGAGTATTTATATTTTTTATTTGCCGTAATTTTTTTTCTCTTCTAGAAGTTGAACACAAAAAAGTCACTAGAATAACGTTGAAAAGACCCTTTCAGCTCCTTTGATATCTAAAAATTATTTTGTGTTGCTTTCAGCCTTAGCTAAATTACTTATTATTGAACTACTTTATTCGGAAAAACGACGACATTCACTTCTCTTCTTCTTCTTCGTCAGACCGTATCCATCCATTGTCGGATATAGGCCTCTTCCAGGTTTTTCCATGTCCCGCGATTTCTTGCTAATCTGATCCATTGTCCCCCTGCCTTTTTCTGGGTCCATCTATCTGGGTCCTGTCTCGCCAAATGTCCGATCCATTGCCACTTCTGGCTTGCTACCCTTTACATAACATCCGTCACTTTGCTTCTATCACGTATCTGTTCATTACGTATTTTATCCCTCAAGGTGATTCCCAGTATTATCTCTCCATGGCTCTCTGTGCGACTCTCAGTTGCTCAGCTGATCTTCGGGTTATTGCCATAGTTTCTAAGCCGTAGGTGAGAACCGGCAGAATACAGCTGTTGTAGGCTTTCCTCTTCAGTTTTATGGGTACCGTTTTATCTTTAAAAATAAAGTTTATGTTTCCGAATGCCATCCGTGCCAAATGGATCCTGCGTTTGATTTCCGCTGTTTGGTTTTCTTTGCCCAGCTTGATTTTATGTCCTAAGTATATGTAATGTTCTACATTTTCTATGGTAACGTTGTCTATGGTGATGTTACATTAATTTTTGCTCATTATTTTGGTTTTGTTTAGGTTCACTTTTAGGCCTACTTTCTTGGATTGTGCTAGAGGAGCTAAAAAACTCTAGCACATTGTTCAATTTTTGAATGTTGGTGTTCATCAAGACTATATCATATGCAAATCTGAGGTTATTGAAGCATACTGCATCGAAGTTAAGGCCCTTGTTTTCCCATTTCAGCTTCTTGAAAATATTCTCCAGTGCTAGGGTAAATAGCTTGGGAGAGTCGGGAGAGATGATATCCCCCTGTCGTACTCCTTTGCCAAGTGATATTTTGTCTGCTTTAAGATCGTCGTTTATTTTTACGTGAAAGGTTGCCTTATCATAGATATTCTTAATAAGGGTAGAGTATCTCGAATCGATTCTTGCGTCCTCCATTGCCGCTAGAAAAGACCAGGTTTCAACGCTGTCAAAGGCTTTCTGGTAATCCACAAACCCCGATGTAGGGGTATGTTATATTCCGTTGTTTTCTCGATGACTGCTTTAATTGTTTGCAGATGGTCTATAGTGCTAAAACCCCTTCGAAAGCCTGCTTGTTGTACCGGTTGGTAGGAGTCTAGCTTTGTAGCCAGTCGATTGTTGATAATTCTAGTGAACAGTTTATATAGGTGTGATAGCAGGCTTATTGGTCTATAGTTTTCTATATTTGAACCCCCTTTTTTGTATATTACTACGACGAGCATTTTTCCATGGTTCCGAGATTTTTCCCTCTATCAGACATTGGTTTACCAGCATTCCTATTGTCTCTGTTAGTGTTTCTCCACCCATCTTTAGCCTTTCCGGTGATATTCGATCTTTTCCCGGTCTCTGGCCGTTTTTCATCTGTTGGAGTGCGTATTCAATTTCTGTTGGTGATATTCCGGCATGTCTTCTGAGCCTACGTTTGTAATGTGTTAAGGTGGTCCATTTGGGCTTGGTATAGTTATTTGGTAGAGTTGTTCGTAGAATATTGTATTTCCCTTCTAATTTCCTGTTTGTCTGTGATTAGGATTACTTGAGTGTTTTTTATTTTTACAATTTTCTATTTTCCCCTCTCTTGGTTCGATATTAGAACTCTCATGGCTTTATTTTTCTCTATAGTTTCCAGGATTTTGTTTGTTTTGTTTTTTCTTAGGTCTTTTCTTATTTCTTTTTCGTTGTCTTATTTAGGGTATTATATTCTGGGGAGTCTTTGTCAGTTTTTCTTCTTTTTCTCATTAGTTCTATCGCCTATGGTTTTAATTTGGTATCTGATCTCTGGCTTATCCTACTGCATGTTTTCTTTGTGGCTGTAGTTATGCCATGTGATATTTTATTGAGGATTTTATCTATGTCGTTATCCTGGAGTGCCGGTGGCTTAGCGTCTTCTCCAGTTCTTTTTGATAGGTTTCCTGATTGAGTTGTAGGGAATCTCTTGTAGGGAATGTTTGTCTGGTGACTAGTCTTCTCCTTTCTATGTTGGTGTTTATTTGTATCTTGGCACGCACTAGTCTATGGTCGCTTCCTCTGTCAAACCTGTTTGGCACTGTGACATCTTTGCAGATAATGTTCCTATTAGCGAGGATGAGGTCTATTTCATTTTTCACCAGTCCGCCTCTGGGCTTCGCCACGTCCACTTCCTTTGAGATTGTTTTTGGAAGAAGGTGTTCATACAGTGGAGTTTCAGTTCAAAGACTTTAGCGAAGTTACAAATGATGGAGATAAGACGATAGTTGCCTATATCTTTCTAATCGCCTTTTTTAAAAACTAAGCAAATTTTTGATTTCTTCCAAATTGATGGAAATTTTTCGGCCCTCAAACACAAGTTAACAATCATTGTTAAGGGATACGCAAAAACAATAGCACAAACTTTCAACAAAAATGCTTGGACGCCATCTGGACCAGTGGTAGGTTTTATTGATTAAAGTGTTTTGAGAATATCAGATTCGTTGAAGAAATGTATGCTCAAACAATGCGTCCCAAGAGCTTCGCTGTCTGACAAAAACTGACTGGAAGTCGAGTATGTACTCTTAATCAGCGAAACGCGAAACCACCAACAATTTCGGTCGAATCACTCAATCGACTGTCATTACAGATCATTTTATCTGGTATTCAGGAAGAGTTTCTAATTGTTTTCACATAGGACCAGAATTTATTGCCATCATTTGATATGTTCTCTTCAGTGTTACGAAGATAAGTGTTATATGAGTTCTGTATTTCAATTTTTTCTTTGGCCCTTATGCGTTTAAGTTCCTCAAAAGAAGCCACAGTGTTCTTGTTTTTATATTGACGCCAGAGTTTTGATTTAGTTTTTAGTTTTCTAATAATGCTTCCGTTTTACCAAGAGGGATAATTATTACTTTTATGTTTTACAGCATATTTAGGACATGATTGATCAAGGATGTTATATAATTGATCATAAAAGTATTTGCATGCATCCTCAACCTCGTTAAAAGCATTCAATGGAGTCTAATCTGCGCTTGTAAATAACTCATACTTCAGTTGGAAATTCGCTTTTTTAAAATTATAAGAACTTTGAAAAGATGAGTGAAGATTTCTACCTCCATCAATTTTTTGGTTGATGGTACAGCTGATTTCCAGAGCGGAATGAATGCCAATTTCCCCAATTAATGGGTCGAGAGATTCCTCAACAAAGCAGCCATCTCCAAAAAGAACCAGATCCAGTAATCTGTTCATACTATTAAAAACAAAATTCTTTTGAGTCAGATTATAAAAATCTAGAAATTTGTTAAAGAGTGAAATTTTCGGAATCTCTCGGCATCTGTTCTATGCAATACACAGTATTTAGAGTATTTTTAGTTTAAAATAAGAATAAAAAAAACTGAACTTTGACCGTTGATGAACCGAGCTAATAGGACTCACTGGCGTAAAATAAATTCTCTCCTCAAAGGCCGAACGCTCTTTAGCTTTTACAAACATCAAACATTGTAAGTCTGATAGAAATCACTGGTTACTGTAATCAGCCATTAGAACATGGGTTTTCATGATGATTCTTCCATGTGGTTTTTAGAATCATTTTTCGTTAGTAGAAAAAACTGCAAGAAATATTATAAATAGCACACAATCTTGTTACGTCTAAGTTTGTATATTTTTCTAGGCTTCTATCAATATGGCTACTAAATCTCTAAGCATCGATTTGATTAAAGATGGCATCTTGGCGACCTGCGTCCATCCTGGATGGGTGAAAACGGACATGGGAGGTAATGGTGCGCCAATGACGATAGACTCTAGCTGTTGCAGCTTAGTTCAATTCGTGGAAAATTTAAGTGAAAAACATAATGGAGGATTCTTTCAGTGGGATGGGAAACAACTGGAATGGTAATAGTGATAATATTTATGAGATGTAAATTAGTAAATTTGGCAGTGTAATGATATCAGCTTTACGCTTTCCTGTCATAATTTTAGTGTAAGTAGAGTTTTCAAACGCGCCCTTAGCATAACACATACATTAGAAACATAATCCTCACTTCTGATCTGATTATTATTGGTGTTGTCCCTAATAATTTACGGGTGCTTATTTTCGATAATTAAACAAGTTAAAGTAATAGGTGTTTTATTTCGACGATAATATAATAAATAATGTTCATTTGTTAATAGACAAGTATCTTTCATGTGAAACAAAAGTTTTAAATAAGTTGATGCTTTTGCAAGAATTTTCGCTAGTTAAAATCTATTTTCAAGAGAATATTGTTTCATTCATTCATGTAATAAGTATTTATAACTAAACATTTCATTGGAGTTTTACTTCACCTAACATGCCTACCGTTTTCATCCATTACATTTTTAACTTCAAAGATTTAAAAAGACGAGTCAGACTATTGAAAAAAAAAGTTAAATTAGGCACCAAACAGTCGTTTCATTTGGAAAGCTTCTTCTTGACACCCCAGCCATATTGGTGCTATTGGCAGTGGTGAAGTTTCAGTGGTAATTATCCAATTGTTATCAAACTTCCAAAAAAGATCACCTTTAAAGAAATAGGTAATTCCTAAAAAAAAAATAGGTAAAAAAAAAGATTGTCATATTTTGTATTTTACCATCTTTCCACGTTGTAGCTGCATCCAAATCAGTCGGAACACCCCTCCATCTACTCATATCCATGGGGTAACCTGGATCCATACTTTTCGATGTTTCGTTGTATCTCCAGAACCTGTCCCTTTTATAGAAGTAGGTTTTACCTGTTAAAAATTATTTGTTTTATTTAAAATCGACATCTTGATTGAACCTTACCGTTTTTGGACCAGGTTTGAACAGCATCAATCCCATCGAGATAATCAGGAAGATCATAGTAACTCAGCGGTAAAGGACTGTTTTCTATGAATTCAAAGCCATTAAAGATCCATAGTTTATTTCCAGTAAAAAGCACAATATTTCCATCAGGTCTCTGATAGGCTGCGTCAACTTTTTTGACAGATTTTGGCAGTTTTGGAAACATTTGTCGTATTGGTGTTGGGTATCCCGGAACCATGATACTTTTGTCATTCAATCTCCACAGGTACTAAAATACAAATACTTTATTAGCAATTTACCTAATTGACAATAATCAGAAGACAGTAATCCATAGGAGTTTTAGAAATAAATAGCTTGATATTTCTTTCCATTCTAGTATTCAACCTCTTCTGACTCAAAACCCCAAACTAAGTACAACTTTTTTTAATTAAATATTGCAAAAACCAATAATATTGTAATTTTGTCATGTTTGTACCTCATCTTTGAATATAAATAATTCTTGTCTCAAAGTAGCCACAGCGTCAAAATGTCCATGGCAAATGTATGGCAAGCTTGGAGAGCTATTTTCTGGATTCGTTTTGTGCGGGTCATGTTCTTTGTGACGATCGACCGATTCATCATCCCCATCATATTTGACTTCGTGTCGTTGGGTTGTTGTGTGGTGATGGTGAGGATGTTCGGTTGGACGAGGATGTCTGGGACCAAACCTAAAAAAAAATTCGGTCTTTGGATAAATGTTTCTCAAGATATGCACGTACGTGAGTTTTGTGGTAATTTTTCTTAGGATCAACAGGGTTCCCAGCGAAATCAAGCGCGGGAATTATGGAATGATCTTAAACGTTCAAACGTACAGCTACAATCAACGCCGGTCAACTTAATATTCAGGCGATGGCTAAGAGTGCAATTTTCAAGTGAATTTTGTATTTACATGCCTTTCTTAGCTTCCAGTTAGATTATCCACTTCAAAATCTCAAGAGAAATCACTGACGCACCAATTTTGTGGAATTTGTTAGCCTGCCTCGACCCCACTATAATTGCGATGAAGTACTCGTGTCCTCCAATTAAAGCAGATCACCATCTGGTACACCGATGGCTCCAAGACCAACAAGGTGGTCGGAGCTGGTATCTACGGAGACAGACCAAGGGTAGAGATATCCACAAGTCTCAAACAGAACAGCACGCTGTGTTTTAGGCAAAAATCGCTGCAATAATACACTGTGCCATACTGATAAATGGAAGGAAAGTTAAGAGTAAAAACATCGTTATTCACGCAGACAGCCAGGTGGACTTTAAGGCAATGAGCTCTCGGAAGATCAGCCCCAAGCTGGTTGGGGACTGTATACGTGCCCTAGAGTAAGTGAGCCTGTCCAAAAATCTTACCATAGGCTATGGGAGACACCCAGGAAATGAAGAGGCCGACGACTTAGCCAAAGGAGGCTCAGCCAATGAGATGATAGGCCCAGAACCATTCTGCGGAATCTCTGCAGGCTTTTTTAAAACATCTTGCCAGAACTGGATAGGCAGAGAGTTCCAGAGCTGGTGGCAGTAGGATAACGACAGGGAAATCCGTTCATCAAATCCTGCTCGCGCGAGATCACAGCGGACCTAATAAGCCACATAACGGTAGGACAAATAACAGGGAATTGCAAACTCAACAAGCACCTGGAAAGAATGAGTCTGGCAGAGGATAGCCTGTGCAGGTTTTGCCAGGAAGCGGAAGAAACTGTCCTACATGTGTGGTGTAACTGCGAAGCGCTATGCAGGCGTAAGTTTGCGAGGCTTGGAGACGAAAAGCCCAATCCGGCAAGCTATATATAGAGTGGCCCGTATCATGGCTCTAGAGTCTAATAAAAAAGACGGGTCTAGAACACGCACTCTAAGGACAGATATGAGACATTACAAAAAATCTGACAAGGTTGCAGTGGTAGAGGACGGCTCTGCGTCATCTCAATTCAAACAAATCTTATCCAATCTAGCCCAAATTCGTGACTTAATTCACGGATATTGAGGCATGTCATCTCTGATTTCCATGCAAATATCTTAAACCAAGAGATATATTTACCAATGATATTTTCTGCGTGGTGTTGGGGTAGTTTGCTCCCTGTCATGATAACGAGGAGTAGTCCGTCGTGTAGTTCTGGTAGTTTCTTCTCGATCTCTTCCCGTAGTATATTCAGGTCTAGCTGGTGTTCCTGAAGGAGTATATGGGAGAACTGTGGTAGATGACTGTTGATCAGGATAAGTAGCTGGAGTTGCATCATCGCCTTTTAATCTTCTCTGGACTAAATTTTAAGACAGTTGAATATTTTATTTGTGAAATATTTAGTTAGATTCGTAGTTCAATTTTTTATGTTATTACCTACTGAAAAATAATGGTAACTTAGTATTATATGAAATGGAAGTTTTCGCGTCATGACCGTATGAGCTTGAAATACATGTAAACGAGAAAAACCTCTCCATCCACATGAAAAAAACTTATTAGCTAGTTTCTTCATAAAAGTAGAATGAGTAGATAAAGTAAAATGAACCACGGGAGCAAAAATATCAAAGAATAACTAAGTAGGTACCTAGCTAGCTTAAAGCACCAATATTTACATTTCACAAACAATGTTAAACCTCTTTTTGTTGGATATCTTCTCACCCTTTTCTAGGAAGTAAAGCAACGAAAATGGGGCAATCAAAAAGCAATAAAATCGCATGAAAATTTTTTATATGAATATTGCTATCAATTTATATTCCACTTATGGCAATTTCGGACAACGAATTCAGAATCACCTGCCATCATGGAATCCATTATTTAGTTTGGATTTTAAGGACTAAATAAATGATTGATATCTCAAATGTTAACTTACTATACAGACTATACATTCCCAAAATGTCATCATAATCCAATAAATTAGTGGTATCTTTATCATATCCTTTATAATAGGGGAACATAACTGATGTTTCTACTGAAGAATGCTGAAGTCCCAACGAGTGACCCAACTCGTGAATTGCTACGGTGAAAAAATCTGTTCCATCTTGTTCTGTTTTGCCACTGGAAAGGTCAACCCAACTTTCATCGTCATCAAAATGTATGTCACCAGCTGAATCTGGTCTGTCAGTCCCAGAAGGGAAAAATGCATGTGCTAGTACAAGTCCCGGGCCGTCAAATGGGAATCTAATGGGGAAACAAAATATATTCAATTTTCTATCACCAAGTCCATATTTTACCTGTCGCCATGATATCCTCTTCCAAAAGCCACAATAATATCTGCATCTTGGCTATACGATCGCGAAAAAGTTAATCGGCCATATCCTCCCCATACGTCCAATGCTCTTTGAATATTTCTGGCTACCACTTCTTCGCCAAGTTTAGAAGACCAGTTGGAGATACTTAAAAAATGTTTTATCAAACTGATCATAATAACTTTATTTTTGGATTATTACTTACTAGTACGTAATGTGCCTTTTATTCCACCCATCTAATACTGCGTATCTCTTTTTTCTCCTCGACACAATATCTGGCACTCCACATCTGAGAGAAGCCATGAGCTTAAATATATAATTGAATGCATAATAATTTATTATCAGCAAATAATAAATACCTCTACGGTACGATTGTCTATAACTCCAGTTTGTTCTATGGCTCCGAACTTTTGCATTGTTTTAATAATGTTGCTCAAATTTTCTTCCGAATATATGGCTTCTGATTGTCCATTGTCGTCTACTAGGTAGCCATATTTTTTCATAAATTTCAGCTAAAAGTTATATGTAGGGATTAAAAATATTGGATTCAAAAATACAATATTTAATTTTTTTTAAATTAGGTGTTAAAGGAAAAAATTGTCTTTCCAACTTACCGCATCATCCGATGGAATTTGTCTAGCATATTTATTGGTGGTTGGTAAACACTCTAAGCAAACCAAATACAAACACAAAATACTCAGTTTGATTACGTTTATCATAATGATTTCCGAACAACTATCGCAGAAAGACCTTGCTATTATTTGACACAGTTATTTTTTCTGAATAAATTATCGATTGATTAGAATCTTTTTTTTTGACTAGCAATAAGGCAGTATTGTTTAGGATTTTTTTATGTCAACTCGACTCCGGAGCCACTAACCCTGAACTAAGGAAACTATTGACACCAAATTAATGCTAAGAATGAGACTGGTTTATTATAAAATTGCTTCAAGCCGGCTGGGATTTTACAATGTTGAATTCGGAGAAAATATCGGTTATGTCTGAATGGATGGAAGCCAGTTTTGTGGTGAATCACGACGGGATTCCGGTATATTTTGAAATAAATAATGAAACATAACTTTCTAGGGATGATTAAGATCAATAATAAATTTCAGGAGTTGAAAACATTCTATATATGAGTAAGCTTCAGACGTGGCCCGTGGGAATTTTGTACCCTGCTTGCTTTAAATAATAAAAAAAAAATCCCATAAAGGACCGATTAAAGTCTAAATATTATATTATTAAGTATGGATTTGATTAGAAAATTAACTGCACCCAGGTTTTTACCGAAATTGAAAATTCAAATTAGGCTAACTTTTCTTTCAAGTATTTTATGTTTTGACGGATAGAGAATTATTATGATTAAATCCTTATTTTTGACTTCAGTGGGCATATTGGTAGATACCTACTTAATAGATTTAATATTTTGTGGAACATTTTTTGGGTTCTTTTGAAGCTTTCTACGGTAGTCTTTATTTTAATTTTTTTTAGGTACCCACATAACTACATAACAGTGAAAGAACATTCATGTTCTCAGAATATTTCCTCAAGTGCTTTTTGGAATGTTCTAAGATTGTTTCGATTGAAATATTCATTTTTGGACGTTCTATTTATGTACTAGGAATGTTGCTTCTATGCACCTACCTGAAAGATTGTGCTAAGAACTTACTTTATACAGTGTGTCCACTTAAGTTCGCAGCATATGGGAAACTTTTTTATTATCAATTTCACGAAAAAAAGTTATTCTTTATAAAAGTTTTTGCTTCTTGAAAAAATTGTATTAAATTATTAAAACTTTCAATAGCATGTACAGGGTGGTCAGAAAATAGAAAAATATATAGAATTTTTTGGTAGAAGTAGAAAAAAAATGGCACGCCACTATTTTTTAAAATCTTTGATATTTTTTTCAGATTAAGCAAGTCATATTACAGTCAAAAGATACCTTTCGTTATCATAAAGAGACCTGCCAAATTTGAAAAAAACATTGGAAAAGGGATTTTTGAGCTAAAAGACTTTGAAAAACTATTTTTTTTCTAAAACTTTGACACCCTGTATCTCAGAAACTACGCATTTCCGGACACATGTTTATGGGAACTTTTTTTCTTAAAATATTATAAGGAATCACATCCTGAAGTTACGAACCGTACTTAGGAAACACCCTGTATATTTTTATATTTTTTGACCACCCTGTACATGCTATTTCAAGTTTCAGTAGTTTAATAATATTTTTTTAACAAGCAGAAACTTTTTTAAAAAATAACTTTTTTTCGTAAAATTGGTAATAAAAAAGTTACCCATATGCTGCGAACTTAGGTGGACACACTGTATAACATTATTTGAATATTGTCATACGAACATTATTATAATGTATCCTAAAAAATGTTCTTTCGGCTAATATCTCTATCAAGTAATAAAAATATACCTACTAAGTTGTGCTGAGAAGTATATGTAGGTAGGTACCCATGATAAGAATATTTCCATATTGTTCACCTAATTATCTAAAGTACCTACTCAAAAATCTTAATTGAACAATTAAACAATAATGCTCTTCTAGAACCTACTAAAAATATTATAGGTATATTCTTTTTCTTTTGCTTTGTAGAACTTTCAAGAGAGGGAGCCACGCGCTATTAAAGATCTACATCTTGCCTAGCGTTTGAATCTCCTTGGAAACCGTTTCTTTCAGTTGGCGTGCTTACCGCGACGGGAGCATAACAAGCTCGAAACCGGAGCTTTGGTTAAACACTTGTGTTTTCCAGAGAACTTTTCCAACAACACTGCCTTTGATATAAAAGGACTGAAAGGATCATTATTTGGATGCGAAAATTAACATTCCAAGTACCTATAGCCCCAGAATCGAACAAGAATGTTATGTCTAGGATAAACATTGAAAATGATATATGTAGATATATTCTAAGAATATTTCAAGCATATTGGTATAATATTCTTTTGAGAGCATAACTATAATGTCATACAAACATTCTTTGAATGTAAGAATATGCATTTCAAGCATATTTTTAGAATCAAACAGGAATATTCTTTTCAGGATGTACTGAGAATCGCTTAGGTATGTGGTTGCGGTGGTTGTAATGAGCAGCTAAAGTTGGATACCGCCACCCAAAATTAACCAATTTTGTAATTTTGGATGTTGAATGTAAAATAAAGGCATTATTTATTTATTTATTTATATTCTAGGAATATCGTAATGTCTTTCCCAGGAAGTTCTTGGGTATTGCAAACAGTATTTCTACAATCTTTACTCAGAACATTCTCAGGACATTCGCAATAGTTTTGGTGAACATTCTAGGAACATTCCTCCTAAAAAAAGAACGTTCCCATTACATTCTAAGGATGCAATTTTGTTATGCGGTAGAGTATAAATCATCTATTTCAGAAGTTTTTCCAATAATTTTTGATACTATTTTTAAGGATTCCGCGGGTCCACTTGAACTCTCTTTATTAACAACAAAATTTTTATTGAACTAATTAGAACTGTCAAATGACAGTTCAAAATTCACTTATCTCTTTCATTTACCCTCAAATATACAACAATTCTCTTATTTCAAGTGCCTGCAACTTACAGATTACAGCTTGACTCAGAAATCTCTAGAATTCTCGTAAATGCACACAATGAATGAATTCCTAAATATTTCCGCACCGGTCGCACACAGTGGCGTCGGCTTTTCCGCACCAATTTTTTTTCGTAACACGGCCTCTCGATCTACCCATTTATTCTCGAGATAGATGCACCCTGCCAAATGCACCACCTTCACTGTTACGGTTATACTCGCACTCAGATCCATAATCATCCATAATCTATCATTCTTCATCTGTCTTCTACCAGCAGTACTATATGTCTTAGAACCATGCCTTTGAAAATAATTGATCTAGAAATCTAAATCTATGTTCTTCATCATAGCCTTAATCAATATGCTCAACATCTCCTGTCAAATGAATATCCTCTCGTTCTTGCCCATCCAGGTTTACCCTCACACTTGCTTTTTATTTTTTTCGATTGATTGACTTCACGGAAACTGAAGGAATGGCCATCTGCTCCTTGTAAACTGTCATGCAGCTGCCTTGTCGGCGCCTGCGCGGACGGCCAAAACAGTCGAATTATTCCTCGACGTAAGAATCTGTAGATCATGTGGTTGAAGGATAATATTGACCTTCTGGATGAGCCGGTCGTATCCCACCATTATTGTTCTCGGTTTTTACCCCTTTCTTCGCTAGCCGGGTTTTCACTTTTTCCAGTTTGTTGGCGATCTATTGCCGTTAGGTATCCTCTAGGATCAAAAATGGTTTGATGTCACTATCTGCTATTTGATCACTTCTAAGCGGTTCGGAACAAATCGGAGACTTCTAGCAGAAACTCTTTCACGCTGATCAATTCTGAGGCATTGCTTACCTTGAACTGGACATGCGGCATCTCTGCGTTATTATGCAGATCTCAGCCGTACTCATGACGTTCACATGAATTCAAATTTATCATCTAAAAGTAATATTTGGCCTTTGTAAACCGTAACTCTTCAATGGACTTTTTCATTCGGAAGCACAATGTTTAAAAATAGCTTCCCGTGGCAATCTTGATGAAGGGAAGGTGCCAGTCAAGGATGATACACACTACTAAGGATTTCTTATCGGCCTCGTTTTTGGTAATCGCCGCCTTCTTGGTGTGTCACCATTTCCGACGTCATTTATAACTATAAGTCGTCAGCTGTTTGCACTAGCGGTCGTTGTTTGGAATTGAAATTCCTTTATGAAGAAACTTATTATTTAATTTTGATCAACATAAATAGGCAAAGAGGAAGATGAAAACGAGATCTAAAAAATAGTTGTTTTGGAATGTTAATTAATGTAGTAAAACCAAGTATGCATGAAGCAAAATTCTGCGGAATCATAACCTGCGGTGCAAACAGCCTACGCCAAGGCGAGAAAGGCCATGCTGCCTACGTCACAACTGGTGATTTGGCATGGTGGGGGGCTTCAGATTTGTTACACACAGGCCTTATGGGGATAGGCTATCCTGTAGTAGTAGTGTGTGTTATCCTTGGTTGCCAGTGGCGTCATTTTATCAGAAAAATTATATAGTTCAATAATTTGTATGGTTACACCGTCACAGATGTTGCGTTTCTTTGTATTGCGGCAAACAAGATGGCCGCCATAGAAATATAGACTATGAATACGTTTATTTCACGCGTTGTATCCGGATACTAAGTGGATTAAGGATTATCAGTGGCCTACCCAGAAAAAAACATTTGGGAAGGGGGTAACAAATGCCCGCCGCAGGTGCCGCCAGAGGAAAGCTGGCGGGTGCCACGCCCAATTTTTGCCAAGAAGTCGTTAAAATCGTTAAAAGAACAAGGATTCGTCGCCCTCTTAAACGGCAAATGGGGGCCTCACCCCCGCTCCTACGGCTCTGGTCCCGAAAATAAAACAAGGATTTAAATGTCACCTTATACCAATGTTTAATTAAACTTAACTACAGAATTAGAACAACATATTAAATATTTATATTTAATCGGCGCTTAACTGTAGCTAGTTTGTCTAATACCTCATCGGGATATACCGATATTTCGGTATGAATGTTGATAAGGGCAAGGCCATTAAGACGGGCAGTGCTTGTGGCATTATGGAGGTAAACTCTGTCTAACCAAAGTTGAACGTTGAAGGTCACTTACTCGAATATATCACAGACGTTGCTTTTTGCTGCTGTCTTTATTGCACGCGCACTGTGTTTATCAAACCAAAATAGGTCCGAACGTGTGAATCCTATGGTTACAAGGATGAGTAAGTGACCTTCACCGTTCAACTTTGGTTAGACAGAGTTTACCTAAGCAATCTTCTTAATGTAGAATTTATTTAAAACCTGATATGTACCGGGTGTCCAAATAAGAAAGGTCGCCGGC